CTTTTTTAATATAACCTGACACATAAGCTTATAGGTTGTGCCATATGAAAAATTATTAATTACAGTGGGGAATGCGTATATTGTTATTTTACAAGCAGGCACAAGCTTAATGTGGGAAATGCTGCTTGCTGCTTGCTGGGTTCACCCAGCGTCTCTTGTCTGGAAGAATGGGCACGTTTAGCTCATGTCTGTCTGCAAAATGTCATGTACCCATGAAGGAGATGAGGGATTAGTCAAAGGCAATAAGGAACTAGTTAGCAGGAAGGCAGCAGCAAACAGCTTTGAAGGAAGAAATGTTAAGGTCCAAGGATTTCACTAGTGGAATTTCTCTCCAATTTCTTACCAGCTGGTGCTGAACCAGTTTTCTTTAATGCTGTCATTGAGAACCTTTGGCATGAAGAGGAGCAGTGTGCTAACAAAATTGCTTGATGATACAGAGCTGGGAGTTGTTTTTAATAAGGCATAGAGTTATTATTAATACAAAGCAGGTTCAGGCTGTCTTGCAGAAAGATTGGGATGGCCTCAAGTAATGGAAAAACAAAAGCAGTGGGGTGGAATTTTGGTGCCAAGTGTAAGGTATTATCTTTTCAGGATGAATAAGAGTTTCCACTGTCAACTGGGTAATACCAATACGCAGGAGAACAGGCTGGAGGGTGACTGGGAGCAAAAAGAGTACAAGAATGTGTCAGGTAAGAGGTTTCCACTGGCAGGAGTACAGAGTACTGAGGAGAGATGCATTTAAATTGGTTGGGGTAATGAAGAACATGCTTAGTGAGCGGTAACAGAAAAGGTTGTTTAGCCTATCTCAGAAATGAAAAAATAAATGTTTATTGTAAACATATATATTCATATATATGAATATATGCAATTAATATATATGTGAATGTATATATGAATATATACCACATATATATGACTATATATGTTGTCTGTAAATGTATAAGAAAATAAATCAATTAAAAATAAAGCTATGAAACTTTATTAGTCAAGTTAATTGGATTTTTTCCTTTCTACTGGATATTGAAAAGTCTTACAAAAGCCATCTCTCACACAAAAGTGAGGTTCCAGAGAGAACGTGACAGCATAGGAGGCTGTGTGTTCTTACCTCTTTCAATTTAGATTAGCGTTGAGGGTGCTCATGGAATTAGGAACAGATAAAACCTAGTTTTACCCTCTGTTTTCCTTTGCTTATGTCTTGTATTTTTCCAAACTTTGTGGTAAGAAAACATATTGTGACATTGTTCCTTTAAATGTTTTGAAGCAAAAGCAACAGCAAAGAGATCAGTACTGAGATTCTCTTTAGTTGAGATCAGCTATTTTAAGTTTGATAGGTAGCAATTATATTTTATATTTAATTGGAAAGTTTAAATTTTCACCAAATAACTGCTAAAATGGAAAATAAAGAAACAACAATTTTCCTTTGCAGGAAGGTGGATGGGAAGGAGAATGGGAAAGGATCTATCCACATTAAACCAAATATGAAAGTTAGGAACTTCTGGACAAAACAAAATGTTCAGAAATATTTTTCACAAGTGATCAGAATATCCTTTCAGTGTTGAAAAGGAGCTTTGCTGAGAGTGACATCTATACCAAAAGGTGACCAAGCTCACCTGTAAAGTGACCTTTTTATGAGAAACCACTAGAGGAACCTGTGTGTAATTCTTCTTCTTGCTTTTTCTTTACCCTACCTTCCAGAACAATTTAATCAAAACAAAACAATTTCTGTGAAAAGTTCTGATTTTCACAGCTTGACATTCTCCAAAAGAACAATATTTTGTTAAAAAGTTCTCAAGCAGCTATTGTTATTACTAGAGGTGAGCTCATGCAGGATTTCAGCCATATGCACTATGGATGGATTTCAATATACATATAGGAGTCTTCCAAATTCTTTATAGTAGAGCAGATGCCATTATTTTAGTTAGCAATTTAGCTTTGTGATGAGCACTGTTTTGCTTTCCTTCTAGTGAAGGAAGACATCTCTGCCTTGGGAGGATATTTGACTCCTTTATTTGTGTTTACCACCCTTCAGGCCTGTGAACAATGGGTCATTTTGTTGAATGGCTGCATGCTGTGCACAGAGACTCTTGTGCTTGGATTTTTGTTGGTCTCATGAAGCTTCGTAGTATCAACTCCACTGGAAGTTACTGAGGAGGCTAACAAATTACTGTTTTTCTTCCCTTCACTTTTTGTAGCTCTTGAGTTTGTTGTTTTGTTTTTTTTTTTTTAATCCAAAGAACCTGATTCTGCAGATATTTTTATTGGTACAAAACCAGATGCAAACCCAGTCAAATCAGTGCAGTTTTGTCTGCTGAAAAACTGACATAAATAATAGTCTTAAGACTCTAGTGCCTCTGACTCTTGTCCTGAACTGCAAATGGAACATTAGGTGTATTTTTTATGATAGTTCTCCAAAGAGACTAGCCGTTAATCTCTCTGAGTAGGTGTGTCAGCTGCAAACATTTCCTTCCAGTCTACCATTTCAATCACACTTCACAGTACACTGAAAATTGGCAAGGATGTTAATTACTGGCCTCTAGAACAAACCACCTACTTTGATTCAACTGTTTTCCAATTTTTAAGAATGTTGTTTCACCTACAGAACAGTATAATTACAGAAAATAGCTTGGTTTGGCTAACATCTTGTGTTCTGTGAGTTCTGCTTGCAAGGCAGCAAGCTACACCAGGCAAGAGGCTCACCTGCAGAGGGTTTTAACCTCTTTCTGACAGAAGTTAGGGCTTGCCGGCATGCAGTACATTGTTTTCAGTATCAGAAGCTCAAAACCACTGTCACTCAGATGTTAAACATTAACGCTTTCTGCTTTTAAAGCTGAAGGAACGCCCCCCATATAGTAAGAAAGTTTTTATTCACCAGAGAACTTCCTGTTAAAACTTTATGGATGTCTCTCACAGGAGTAATTACAGCAGTGGGTCCTGTACCTGGGCAGTGCAAAACCCTGGGTGCAACATGACCCACCGAGCAGCACGGTTCAGAGACTGCTTGTGTAGCTGCATTTGTGCAATGCAGTATTCAATAAAATTTGCCAGGAATCAGCCAAGTATCCAGGACATGATTAATCAACCAGCAGAATGAATTGCCCATAGATGACTGGGAGTTGACAGTAAACAGTAAAACACCTGCCTTGAAAACTTACAGTCTTAAGAGACAAACAGGAAACAGAAGCAAGTGGGAGCCCTGTTTTAGGAGAGAGATTTTGAGACATACAGGCAGAGTTGTTCATGATTATACAGGGAGTTTGGCAGACTTAGAGGCTGAACTATGTGCATTTCCTTTCATGGGTTTGTAGCTCATATAACAGGTCTTTAATTTGCCAAGAAACTTTTCCGCAACACTGTCCTGAAGAGTTGGCAGAATCCACAGTTGGCATTTCTCACATATGTGCCTCTTGGTTAAGGGCCCTACAATTTGTACAATTAATAACTTACACCAGGAATTAAAAACATTGGAAAACAGCCCAATGCTCAGGCTCATGTGTCAAGGAATTGCTGTGGAAGCCTGATCTTACTTGTTGTTGCAACAATAAATCACCCACTGATTTATTTATATGGTACCTGGGCCTTCCAGCCAGTCCTACAATGCTATTGAAACTGGACTTTTAAAATTAGTGGTGATTAAGCTATAGATCCATATTAAATGTGCATGAATACCTATTTCTCCCTGCCTCCTCTTTAACTGTAAGGCCTGTTGGGGCTGGCTACCTTCCTGACTTACAAGCCACATGCTGCAATTTCCATTATGATTGTGAGTCACACTCCCTTCAGTGTGAATCAAGGATGGGAGGGGGAGTGTCCCATGGGGTTCACAGATGGGAGATGATGGTGATTGCTCAAGGATTCCTCACCCCTCTATAAACCAGATCCCAGCATGTGCTGTTGGTGCCAGTCTCTGCAGTCCCTGCTGGCTCATTGCCTGCCACTGCTCAGGGTCCTGGTTATCCAGCAGCTCTTCTGCTGCTAACATCAGCCAGGGACTGCTACCTGCTACCCTTAACAGCCAGGGAGCCATGTGCAGAACAGAGACATGCATTAGTAGTTCATGGCCAAGGGCCTTGCTTCACTTTCTATATGTTGGTCAACAGTTTTGCAGTATAGCAACGCATACATATCATATGAAATACGTTGGCTGATAGCCACTTGGCTGAACTGAAGAGTTCTAACCTTAGGTGTTCAAAAACTTACATGGGAGAAGCCATTCAAAACATGATTCTGCTAGGGGAAAAAAAAAAATTCAATGCTAGAAAAAAAGAATATTTCATAAGAATTAAATAGGCTAGGGTAATGCTTGTTTGCTTCCTGGTAGCTGGTACAGAGCTGTGTTTTAGAGTCAGTATGCAAATAATGTAGCTAACTGATGTTTCAGATGTTGCTAAGTGGTGCATGTCCTAAGTCAAGGACTTTCAATGTGTCCTGCACTGGCAGTGAGGAGGTACACAAGAAGCTGGGACAGAGCATGGTCAGGACAACTGACCAAAGAGGCCAAAGGGACATTCTGTGTGATAAAACATCACGCCCACTATATAAAATGGGGGGAGTTACCAGGAAAGGGTGTGATCACAGCTCAGGGATAGGCTTGGCACTAGTCAGCAGGTGGTGAACAGTTGTATTGTGCATCACTTGCCTGTTTTGGGTTTTATCTCCCTCTGTCCCTCTCCTTTTTATTACAATTACTTGTATTAGTATCATTATTATTATTATCTTTTACTTTTTAAAAATTATTTAACAGTTCTTATCTCAATCAACAAGTTTGATTTTCTTTTCTTTCCTGATTCTCCTCACCATGCCATCAGTGGGAGGAAGAAGTAACCAAGCATCTGCATGGTACTTAGTTCCTGGCTGGGGTTAAGCCACACCACTATGTTACATACAACAGTATAACTCTATGTGTGCATATAATGGTTGAAATTATTGCACAGATTGAGGTGTTTTCAAAAAAGTATGGATATTCTGAACAAATTGGTTATTGGTTGTTTATCATTTCACAGGCAGAATTGATAGCTTTGCAACAAGAAAAAGAAGCTGCTCTTCAACAGTGCAAAAAACTAGAAGAAGAAATCCAAACATTGCATGTTTATTACAGGTAAAATGATTGATTCTAATATAAATGAGTGACTCATAGGGGAAATTTTCTGTACGATTTCTGACTGAGTGAGGAAGTGACCTTATCAAATAGGTATTTGTTGGAAAAATGTGAATACATCAATGAATCAATTCTGCTTTACTGCTCACTAACCATCTTTTTGAAATAGGAGTCCCTTTCTTATAGCCTGAATTTTGTATTAGTTTCTTCTAAGGGAAGTGAAAAGTTGGTGGTTGATTTTTGCACCAAAAAACTATGCTATGGCGATGTGATCACTTAAAAACACACGGACAAAAGAATCAGATTACATAAATGCTTGTTTCTTGCCTGATTGTTTGCACATCCCTAATTTAGTCAATATGGATTTTAAAGTAATAAATCTGTAATTCTAAAATACTGGTGTCTTCTTCAACCCCATATATGTGCCTTTTAATTCCTTATGTTCTGTAGCAGTATGGAGAATGAAAGAAATACCCATTCTCATTAATTTAGGTGGGCTGCACTGAACATTTGCATGGATCAGTGGGTTTTAGTCCCTAAGGAAAAGCTCTGTGTGGTCTAGTGAAGGAGTTAGGTTGTTTTATGGAGTGATGTTGGGTTACAGCTCTCATTTCATCCTGACCTCCTGTGTGAGAGGGGATACAGAGCTGCCAGCAGGTTAAAGGCAGGAGAATTGGCATCAACACAGCTGAAAATTGTGAATCTGAAGGCTGAATGTCTGTGATGAGGGATGTGGGCTACAGAGGTAAATAATAAATATAGTGTGAATACTATACTCATTGGAAATAAAGAGGACTAGTTATTTATGTCTAAAAAGCATTTGCAATAGCAGAACTGTGTATGTTTCAGCATTCAAAAGTAAAAAATACTCAGGTTTCTAGAGGTTTTTCAAGCTTCCCCTTCTCATTAAGTTTATTAAAACCTTGGAGGGAAGTTTCAAAAACAACTTTTGTTCCTAAATCTCATAGGCATTTATTTAAAGCCTGTTAATAGTGAATAGAAACCCCAAGCAATTTGTGATTATTGCATTTGATTAATTTGGTCAGCATTTAGTGTGTGCACAAATTATGGTGTGATTTACCAAGCTAGAAAGAATTTATTATGGTGCCCTTATTACTCATTTAAACGGGGTTTATTTGTTTTTGGTTTTTTTTTTTAATAATTTAGAAACTGAAATGCAATTTTTTAATTGATATTTTAGAAATTAAGAATTTGCTTGTGTTGGTCTATGCACATTGTAGGAGACTTTTCACTGATTTTTGAGTTACATTTTTGGCATAGCCTATCAAGTTTGCACTAACATACAATGTTTAACAAGTATAGTAGGCAGCAACAGCCATTTACTTGTGTGCATGCTTTAGATCCCAGGAATATTAACAATAACGACTTGCAGGAATCAGTATTAGAATGTACCGTGTTATTAACTTACAGCTCTTAATTTGAACAGTCAAAATTTCACTGTAAGTTGGCTGACAGCATTTGCAAAATCTATCCCGAAGGTGTGGGAATGCTCACCTGATTATCCCCTGGGGCAAGAACTATTTTATCACTACTGATTTGTACAAGTTACAACATCTAAAGTAGAAGATTTTATCTCCTACCTACCTCACTGTTCTAGAGGCTAATGTGTTCCAAAGTGGACCCACAGAGTGACTGATTGAGGCTGGCAGGGACCTCTGGAGGTCTTCTTGTCCAACTCTGCTCAGGCAGGTCCACTGAGACCTGGTTGCCCAGGTCCACATCCAGAGGGGTTTTGAATGTCTTTAAGTATGGAGATTCCACAACCTCTCTTAAACACTGTTTTAAGCATACAAAGACATGCCTTGAAAAGCCAGAGACCACCTGAACTTGCAAGGGTTGTAAAAGGCAACAAGGACTCCTATAAGTGCATAAGCAGCAACATTTAATTTCTCAGGCCTGTCTTTTGACTTGATTAGAAATTAATTGCACCATTATGAGGATTCTTATGAACTTCTTGACATTTTGGTTACAGTTTCCTTTAAGTTACATGAATGTCTGCTGCCCTTGCCGTCCAGCAGTGTGACAGTACTTTAAACACATGCCAAATGAGACAGAAAAGAATATATGTCCCATGTTCATAAAGCTTTGGGAACTGTACCAGGCCAAGGGTGGGATGGCCACGGTAACTATGAATGATGAGGTAGACAGTGCATTTCCCAAGCCATCCCAAATTAATGAAAATTTGCACTCTGTTTTGTATGTGGAAGGGACACATATATAGATGTCTGATGGGTTTTTTTTATTTCCTCATAGTGCTTGCCATAGTATAGTAGTCCAGAATAAGCATTGGGAGTGGTTTTAGACAGTCTATTTTGAATTGAGGTGGAAGTTTGTGGCTTTGAACCAGGCAAGTTAGCTGTATGATTTGCTGTTCAAGACTGCATTCCCTGGAGTTACTTCTCTTTTTGGATTGCATAATTCCACAGTGAGCAAAATATAGGCTTCCACACATGCTCCAATCTTCATGAGAACTGTAAAACTGCAATGTGACAAGGCCAGGTGCACATTCCCTTCACCTACTGTTCTCTCATGTCTTCGCCAGATTCTTGCACTTTCTGTCCTAAGCCCCAGCATGGCAGGGGCTTAAGAATTTTGGCTCATTTGGTGACTTCTCCTTTTGCTCTTAGATCTTCCCTGGTCTTACAAAAAGCATTTTTCCTGCTTTATGTTTTTTCTCCTTTTTTAAACTGGTATTTCTGAGGCATGCTTCAGGAATGGTACTCCCCAATTTAGTGGTCCTACTGTGACTCTCCAAACCACTCGCTCATTCCCCTTCTCCCTCCTGCTTCCTCTGCAACAGGAAAAGAGAATTGGAGACACAAAAGGTGAAGATCAGGAGTTGAGATAAGAATAATTTACTAGAAAAAGCAATGAGACAAGAAAGTAACAGCCATAATATTAATAAAAAGGCATACAAAAGAGAGAGAGTGATTTACACGCACAATTATCACCCCAACCCAACCACTGCCACGCTATCCCAATAGGAAGGAGCCCCTTCCCCCTAGAAAAGACTCCCTTCTCCCCCACACTGGAAAATGTCATGAGGTGGTATAGAATATCCTCTGGGTTGTAGCCATGCTCCCTCCTAGCTACTGCAGAAACTTACCCTGTGCTGGCCAGATCTACAACACTACATCATTCTTTGGCTTAAAAGAAGCAAATTTAAGAAAACAAAAACAAATAAGCAAAAAAACCAAAACAAAACAACAACAACAACAACAAAAAACAACAACAAAAAAGAAAACAAAAAAACCTAGAGGTTCACATTAAAGTGTACAAGTGATACCTACCTCACTTGTACTTGTGACTTAACACACAATAAGATTTCAAGGATTTGGTCACAAAAATAATGTCTGTGTGTGTATATTAACTATTTTGGATGCATACAAAACATGCATCCAGTGTAAGCAGTGACATTAAAATGTGCATTTTTATACCAATCTAACTTTCACTAACATTAGTATAATCCAGGAAAAGCAAAGTATCATTTTATCATACAAAATCAGTGGAGAGATACTTAGGTCCAGAATATCTGTATGTGTGTAGTAAGTACACACAGGCGTGCCTAGAGGAGGGAAACAAGTAGAGACCTTCAGGGAAAAAATAAAATCCCCTTCTATTTTCTCCAGAGGAAAGATTCTTGGTATCTAGAATACTGCATCCAGTTTTAGGTCCCCAATACAAGTAAGACATCTATAAATTGGAGAAAGTTTGACAGAGGGCAACTGGTACAGTCAGGAAGCTATAGCATTTGCAATGTAAAGAGAGACCAAGGGTACTGCTCTTGTACAGCCTGGGAAAGAAAAAGTATTCCTTTCTTTGTTGGCTCCAGGGAGACCTAATGGCAGCCTAACAGAGTCTGTGCAGAGGTTGTCAAGAAAGGCGACCTCTTCACAGTGCTCCATGACAACAGGGTGAGAAATAACTGGCTTGAATTAAAACAAGAGCATTTCAGACAGGTTACAAGGGAAAACTTTTTCCACAGGGGCTGTCCATGGCTGGAACAGGTTGCCAGAGAGGTTTTACCATCTCCATCCTTGGAGATTTCCAGTGTCTAACGTGATAAAGTCATGAGCAACATGGTGTGATCTCATATTGATATCACTTTGAGAAGAGGTTAGGTTGGACTGGAGACTGCCAGTGGACACTTCCAACCTCATTATTCTACAATTCTCTGGTCTGGTAGTTGTTGCTGCTGTTTGAAGATGTTATTTTTTTTCCCTCCAACTCTGAAAGAAGGCTGTTTTGTAAACTACACTTCTTTCCAAGTGAAGTGAAAAGCAAATCCTAACTGAAACTGGAGCTTCATAGAAAGCTGTAATGGCCTAACCCAAAATTAAAATGAGCTTTTGCAGATAAAATGAGGAAACATTTATTTCCCTCTTTATCTTGAATTTCTGAAAAGAAAGCATATCCCAGAACAATTTTAGTCTACTTTAGAAGGGACAGAGAAGTGAAATGGAATTAAAAAGGAAAAGAAGCTAATTCAGATACATAAGGAACAAGAAGTTGGCTACAAGTTCTGTGCTTCCGTTTGTTCTTCTTGTGTTGTCTCTGTGTCAAGTTTCAAAAAGAAAATTGTGTTTTCTGGATGCTAACTCAAATATACATACCAGAATTTAAAATTTGCATAACAGTTAGGAATAGCATAGCATTTCTAACTAATATAATTGTTTCCACACAGTGCTCTTTAAGCTAGAGATTAATGCAAATCATAACATCCTCAGTGACCAAAGAAGGCTATATCCAAATAACCAGTTTTAAAGTGCATGGGAGTGTTAATCCCATTACCTCTTTCTCACATACCTCTGTTGTTTGAACATCATCATCATCACAAGATTTTTATTTGCATATTTTTCAGTTATGTGATCTGTCCAATTTTATAATCAGGTTCCTTCTTCCCCTAGATTTATATGCTGAGTGTGACACCATTTGGTATGGGATATGCCTTTGGTCAGTTGGAGTCAGCTGTTCCAGCT